ACGTTCCCGAATTGCACAGCGCGACTGAATGCCTATACATTTTCTCGCCTAATGTAAGTATTATAATATTATTATAATAATTTTCTCGATGATGTAAGAATTATAACAACAACACGTCTAAAGTTATGACGATTTATTAAAAATAAATTGTTATAAGAATTTTGAGTAAAAAAATTTTATTAAAGTAAACTATGATGTAATATTAATATTTTAGTTGAAGACAGTCTTAAATTTGTTGCTGTATCAAACAATATTTTGATGATATTTTATTTAACCATGATGTGGATTAGAGTAAGGGTCTACACCAGCTGAATCTGGAGTCACATCAGCTGTATATTGATTCAGATGAGCAGAAGGTGAAACAGCTTGAGCATGCCTTAAGCTAGCTTGTCCTTGGTAAACTGGCTGGTACTGAAGTTGTGGGCTCTAAAATTTACCAATTATTTAATTATGTTATTCAGTATCAAGGTTTATAATTTCTCTTTTTAAAAATGTAGATAATTCTCAAACCTGTACATATTGTTGGGTAGGTTGGTGTCTTGGAGCAGCAGTTACTACAGATTGTTGTGGATGAACTAATTGTTGTCTGGGAACTGGGGCGCCATTGTATTGAATTCCAACTTGTTTTGCTTGAGCAGAATTGTATTGAGCTTTAGGAGAGGGCGAGTATAAGTTTGCTTGGGTATCATCAGTACTTGGTTGTGGTGTTGGAACTTTCACAACAATATTGGTTGGTTCTCTTGAAACGTGAGCTTTGAATCCCTGAAAACACATAGAATTGTATTTTAAGTTTATAAGAGAACTGGACTTTATTCAATTTCATAATTTATTTTAGTTATTCTTACCTCAACTGGATCTGCAGTGTAGGTAACAGTTCTAATGAAGCCATCAGCATCAACTACACTGTAGCTTCCAGAAATTTTATTTCCTTCTCTTTGTTCTTTTCTATTTTGATAGTTGGTGTTTTCATCATCATTAACATCAAATGAAAATTGATAAGGTTGTGGTGGTTCTGCCTGAAATTTATAAATTTAAATTTATTGATTTCAACAAAATTGATGTAAATTAAATTACTAAAAACCAGTTTTTGATTTTTTAAAAAATTACTGAGTGTAAAAAAAAATTTTTATTCAAATCTTAATTTTTGATAATGAAAAGAAAGTGAATTTTTTGCTTCAAAAAATTTCAAGTAGTTTATGCGGAA